ATGAGGGCACGTGGGTGCCCAGGCAGTGTCTGCTGAGAGGCCAGGGAGGGCCCATCCCAGAATGTCAGCGGGTCTCGGGGGGGGGGGCTCAAGTGGCAGGTTCCAGATGGCCAGCACTAACCTGGCTCTGAATCCACATGCACTGGTCTCTTCTCGTGTTGAGTGGGTGCAATTTATATCTTATATATATATGTGTGTAATATGTATTCAGATGCATTTCCAAGTGGTCAGCACGGCAGGGCTTGGTTGGCAGGCACCCTCTGATGGCACCATGGTCCTGGCTGATCTGGGAACCCATGAATTCTTCTGTTGAATGTGGGAACTGAGGCTTGGTATGGTCAAATGGCAACTGCCAAGGGTGAGCTGGCTGCTGCCCAGGAAAGGCCTGATTGCCACCTCCAGGAGGTGAGAGGTCAGCTCATGGTGGCCTGGGGGGGCGGGGTACACAAGCCAATATAGCCAACTTGGTTGGTCCTACATCTGGGCGTCTGCTGGGGTTCTGACTTCTTAGGTGGCTCCTGGCCTGCCCACCCCTCAGCACTGGCCACCTGCCCAACCCTCCCTCCTGTGCACACTTGAGCCCAGGAGAACCCTTGGCCCCGCTACCCCACCACTCTGTGAGCACAGAGAGATGGCCTCAGTGTGCCCTCTGAGACTGTCACTTCTCTTAAGGACCAGACTCCTTCCGTGATCTCCCAGGAATTGCTTTGGTGACTTTGAAATTTTCCATTTCATTTTTTCTTGCACCTGGTACAAAACTTGAAGTCCACAAGCCCAGGCCCAGTAGACGGTGGCAGATCCTCCTACCCTGGGCCCTGGCACCCAGTCGGCTCCTGGAGAGTCACCCACATCCACCACACTGTGCTAGTGTCTGGGGCTGCTGAGACACCGTGCTACTCCTGAGGAGGCTTCAGGACAGAAGCAAGCTTTCTCCCACTCTTCTGGAGGTCAAGAGCCCCAGATCAAAGAGTGGCCTGGCTGGGCGCCAGCAGTTCTCAGGGAAGGTGTGCTCCAGGGCGCTCTCCAGCCTGGGGCTTCCTTGGCCTGTCCCGTATATCAGTTTTTTGTTGCTGTGACCCATATGCCTGACCAAAATAACTTGGAGAAGGCAATGCTTATTTTAGATCCATGGTTTCAGAAGCAGAGGTTCAGTCCACGTTTGGCGGAGTCCACTGCTCTGGGCCCAAGATGAGGCAGAACATCATGGCTTAAAGGTCTGGTGGAGGAGAGCAGCTGGGCTCATGGCAGCCAGGAAGAGGGAGAAAGGGAACCAGGGACCAGCTGCAATCCCCAGGGCACGTCCCCAGTGACCTACTTCCTCTAGCCACACCCCACCTGTCTACAGTTGCCACCAGTGATACATTCAAATTATTAATCCATCCAATGGATTAATCGACTGCTGAGGTTCCAGCATCCATGAGCCAACCTTCTCACCTTTGAACACTGCTATGTTGCCTACCACACAAGCTCTCTGGGGGACAACCTCCCCAGGACTTCTCCCTCTCTATGCATCTGTGTCTAGTTTTTCTATGGGACACCCTGCTCAGTGTGGTCTCACCCTTACTAGTTACATCAGCAAGAAACCCACCTCCAAATAAGGCCACATTCAGAGGCCCTGGGGTTAGGACTTGAAAATGTGCATTTGAGCAGGGGATTACACCCACAAGAGACATACACACCAACAACCGTTAAGAGTCCATCTAGATGTGCACCTACATTCATGGATATGCCTGTTTACAAATGACCCCTTAACTCAATCCTGGCCCTTGGTGCCTGTTTTCCCACAGATCCTCAGTCCTTGGGGCAGCCCCGTATCAAGGGCTCTGCATTCTGCATCCTGGGTCCAGGTTGTGACCACATGGAGATGGATCACTCCATATGTGTCCAGTCCCCTCCCTCCTTGTGTGCTTGAAGGGTGTTTCAGTTTTCAGAATTACAGACCCTGCCACAGCGGGTGCCCAGTGGTATTACTAGGTGCTCTGGATCCTTGGGGGTTGTGTGAGCATTCACCAGAAGCCCCCCGTACAAGGCTGCCTGCAGCCAGGGCTGGAAGTGGCTGCTAATTCCATGGAAGGGGAGAGACATATTCTTGCGTCTCTTGTTCCCACCCCCACCTGGCCCTGGCCAGCCCCTCCCAACCCACCAAAAGGACAACTAAGCCTAGAGAATTCCCCAGACACCTGTGCCCAGCAGGCTTCGGGGACCTGAGCAGGAGCCCCACAAACATGCCCTTCATGCACTGCAAGCCCGAGAGGGCTGGGGGAGCTGTCCAGGCTAACGGGGCTCCTGGGCTGGCCAGCTTCAGTTTCTAGAATCTTCCTCTGGACCTCAGGAAAGGCTCCCTGCAGCATGGTCACCAGCCCTTTGTTCCAGTCTCTTTTCTCCAACCCCATGTCACTTCCAATCAGGTGTTAGAGTCTGTAAACAAGTCTGGATGGTGCCTGGCAAAATGCCAGAGGGAGTGGTTTGAGAAGTAACAAAAAACCGAGCCATTAAGTGTGGAGATTCCCGATTGGTTGACTGCTGTATCTAGTTTATGCTAATTAGATAAGCTTGTGGAATGTATAAATACTGCTCCTGTCCTGCAATAAACGGCTTCCACTCCTGCTGTATCAACGTACACAAGTCGTTCGTCACCCCCCGATTATTTTGCTGCAGCCGGACTGCGGCAATCAGGGTCACAGGCAGCCTGAGCTGGTCTGAAGGTCCCCAGTGGTTCGGAAAACAAATCTGTGCTCCATTGTGGAATCCGAACCCGCTCCCACCTCGAGGTGCTCTTCACATTAAAACCATACGTCCCGCACCCAGTCTTAAAATGTCCGAAACTGTGAAAATCTTCATGGGGGGGGGGGAGGAGGAGGCGTGTGGAACACCGGATCAGGGTCCCTGGGCTTGGAAGGCAGAGCCAGAGGTTCCAGGAGGAAGCCAAGAGCCAGGCTTTGTAGCACACTTTAAAATTGTCAAAAGAGCATCCCTTCATTCAAGGAATGCTTTCCTCAGAACAGGAAGAGTCTCTCTAGCTGGGGACACCACAGCCACCAGCCCAACAAGCCTTCCTATGTCCATTTCCAGAGAAGGAAGTCATGTTTGGAGTCTAACTCTGGTTGCTGACAGGGCTGGGACCCAAATTTACTCATTTCTACCTTTTTATGACAACATCTCGTCTCCAAGAAAAACTGCCAAACCAGCGGGACAGCCAGGTTTCCAACAGAATTGCCCCCTGAGAAGGGTGTCCTCAAAGTCACATCTACCAGCCTCTCCTGAGCCTGCCCTGGACTGTCAACTGTGTTGAGGAGAGGACACCCAAACACTGGACAGTGGGCAGGCAGGTGCCCTAAGCAAGGGCAGCAACTTGCTGATGGAGGGAGGATCCAGGTAGGGAGTGTGGCTGTTCCCGGGCCCATTCTTCCAACTTTTTGTTACTTACTTACTTTCTGTGGTGTTAGGGGTTGAATCCAGGGGCGCTCCACCCCAGCCGCATCCCCACTCTTTTTTAAGATCCCTCCAGTACCCGGAGGATACTTTTTAAGTTTTAAAGTTTTCAAAATAAACTGTTGGGAAAGACCGACCTGCAGACCGTCCCTGGTAAGGTCCACGTTTGCTGAGCAACGTTCACCGATCAGGTGAGCGCCTGTCCCAAGCAGGGACCTGGTAACAGCCACCAAGCCTGGGGCAGGGCGAGCACAGCGAGAGCCCAGCCTGTCGCCTCTCGGCAGAGCGCAGGGCTTGGGGAGGGCCCCCGGGGGGCCGTGGCGCAGCCCAAGGTCCCTGCCTCCGCTCCCGAGGCGGCTTCGCGCGTCCTCGTTTGGGTAGATTTAATGGGGAGGCCCTTCCTTCCCCCGCGCTGGCAGGGAAGAGTCCGGGCCTGCGGGACCTGGTCGCGGGATGCGCACACGCAGCTGCGCCCGGAGGGCCTCGAGGACGCGCCACAGCCCCTGCAGCCCCGCTGCTCCGCTCGGACATCGAGGAGCTGGGGCGGGAGGGCCGGGCCGCCTCGTCCAGAGAGCTGCGGGGCCGGGCACGCGAGGACCAGGGCGCGTGGCTCTCGGTCCTTTCCCCAGGCCCCTGTCCTGCCCCTCCTCCCCCAGTCACCGGCTCCCGGGTCCCTCCCCCATCTCCTCCCGGCCTTTCCCTCCCTTCTCCCCCCCTCGCGTCCCTCCTCTTCCCCTCTTCTAGCCCAACCCCCTCCTCCTCCCTCCCCCTCGCTCCTCTTCTCCCTCCCCCTCCCTCCTCCTCCCTCCCCCTCGCTCCTCTTCTCCCTCCCCCTCCCTCCTCCTCCCTCCCCTCCTCCCGACAGCCTCCGGGCGGCCCAGTGAACTCCGGGAAGCCCACTTAACACATTATGAAAATGATCTCCTTTTTCCAGTTTTAAGGGAGACTTTCACAAGGAGGGAAGTGGTTAGACCCTCAAAAGGCAGCCAAAGTAATTTTCAAACATTTGGTCTTTTTCAAGGCAGATGCTTTTAATATATACCAAAGACCTGTCCACAGCATGGTGTCCCCTCAGCCTCCTTCCCACTGCACAGCTGAGGACACTGAGGTTTCAGGGCCCAAGGGAGGACAGGAGCTCTGGTGGCCAGACTGCCAAGTGCAGTTTGTGCTGGTTGTAACCTAAGGAAGAGGCTATGGCGAGTCCACAAGAACCACCCACTGGCTGCTGCCAGGGCCTGGGCCAGGGTAGTAGGGGAGGCTGCCTGGGATGGCTGCAGGGCCATGGTTGGTGCCTCCGCCTTCTCCCTGTGCAGCCAGCGCACCAGCCTGCTGTTTCCTGATCCCGGCTGTGGCTCTGTGCTGGCTGCACGGCTAACTCTGGACCAGAGCTAAGCACCTCATTTTGGATGTCCTGGCTTCCTATCCACCCTGCAGATTCTGTGACTTTCCATGACTCTGCCGAAAACCCAGCTTTGATCTTGTCACTTCCCTAGCTCAACAAGCTTCAGTGGCTCCCCCTGCTTTGCAGATTCAGAACCTACTCTTTACCGTGGCTTGTGGTCCCACAGGAACCTGATCCTCAGCTCCTCAATTGCCCTCGGCCCTGCAGCTCCTTCACCCTGTCAGCGAGCAGAGAATCACCTCAAACACCCAGGATTCCCTTTTTCTGCATCACCGTGTCACACGTGTGACAGTCAGAAGAGCCGATGCTGGGGAACATGGGAGGAAATGGAAACAGGCCCAGCTATTGTGAAGAAAAATTCTGGAGAACAATTCTGAAGTGCTCAGGGAGGTTGCCTCTGCCTAGACCGGCACCTAGGATCTCCACCCTCAGGCATCACCTCCAGAAAGTCTCCCAGCCCATCAAGAAGATGGAAAGGTCTGCTCATTCCAGTGTGTCCCCAAGAGTGGAGCAGAAACAACCTGGGCTCCCCCAGAGGGAAGCAGCATTGACTCAGCAGGTATGTTTTCCTGAGGGACCACAAAGCATTTCTCATATGGTCCGACAAAGGTGACTTCAGCCTTCTTCCTACTGGAGCAGGGGGTCTCTGTCCCCTCCCCTTGGACGTGGGTGGGAGCTGTGACAGCCCTAATCAGTAGAGTGTGGTGGAGTAAGGATTGCATTCCCAGGCTAGATTCCGCCCGCTCCCCTGTCTCTGTCCTCTCTTTTCCCAGGAACCCAGTCCCATGGAGAGGCCCCTGAAGGGGTCTCTCACAGCAGCACCAGCCCCAGATAAAGGAGCAGCTGTGCTGTAGATGAGCCCCATGTGCTACCACACACTTCGAGATTCCCAACTGGGGCCCAGACTTCATGAACTGGAGATGAGCCATCATGATCCAGAGGGGCTCCGAGCACTCTCACAAACGGCTGTTTTGCTGTTTGGGGGATTGTGTACGCAGCTGTAGTAAGGGAACAGCAGCATGTGAATTCTGGATTAGTACATAGCAGTTACAAAAAGGAACAGAGGAGACGGTGCCGTAACCCACTACTCTGAGGCTGGAGCAAGGATCACAAGTTCAAGGCTAGCCTGGGCAACTTAGTGAAGACCTGTCTTAAAATAAATAAATAAATAAATAGAAAGGGTTGGGGATGCAGTTCAGTAGCAAAGCACTTGCCCAGCATTCCTGAGTCCCTGGGTTCCATCCCTAGCACCTGGGGGCACGGTGTTCCTGCAAGGATCAACATAGATCTATCAACACAGGTACAACGCACACATACACAGCAGGTTCGGCACCCTTAGATTCCACCAATCACAGATCAGAAAATATTCAAAAGATGGGCTTGATTCCCAACACTGCAAAATAGATTCATATGTATATACACATATATATGAAAACCTGCACTGAACAGGTAGACTGTCTTCTTGTCATGATTCCCAAATAAAGTACAACAGCTTTTTACATTGTATCTGGTATCACAAGGCTTTAGCTATGACTTAAACTACACAGAGATTTGCATAGGTCTGATACAAATACAGCTCTATTGTATATCAGGGACTTGAGAATCCTCACAGTTTGGTATGATACGGGAAGGGGGGTCCTGGAATCCCCACTAGGGGGTCAACTAGATTTTTTAATGAGAAGTAGAAGCATATAATGTTGTATTGTTTTTGTAAATTAATACATAAAAGCAGGCACTTGGGACAGCAGGGAATGAGGTAAAGAGAAACAAGATTGGGATGAAGGATGAAAGAAACAAAAATAAAATCTAAATTGTAAAATTGTTCCGAAAAAAAGTTCATTAAAAAAAAACAAAAAACGAGTTGTGGCCGCCTGTAGTTTGGGATTCAGATCTGTGTGCTTGGGATCATTCCCACGACCCATTACTCAGATTTATGGGGCATCTTGGCTAGGAGCCCCTGAACTGGGCACTGGGTTACAATGGTGAGGAGGACCCTGCTGAAGGCAGAGCTCTCCAACAGAGAGGACTCTGGGTTTCCTGCAGGGTCTGCTGGAGAGCTTAAGGCGCTCCCAAGGGACAGCACAGCAGAGATGCCAGGAAGGGCAGAAGAGGACTGAGAAGCGACAGACATGGTGGCCACTGTCCGTGAGGAAGGATGGTTGTGGCCTGGGGGAGTGGGGGCGACCTTTCACAGATGGACATACAGGAAGTGGCCGGGTTTTGGAGCTGGGGCAGTTCCCCAATCCACGAATTCTGTCTAGTACCTACTGGGCAGGGGAACCTTGGGTCCTGGCCCTGGGAAAGCCAGAGGTCCCAGATGAGAGAGGCAACTTCACAGAGTGTCTCTGGAAGCTCGTCCCGACTGTCGCTGAGCTGAGAACCACTGGACACCCCGACCTGCCACATCCAAACGCACGAAGCCCGGAAGGCAGCGATTCCGGGGTTCACCGCCTCTGCCCCACAGTCCAACCCCGAACCCTCCCCTCACCGGGACGCAGGAATGCCCACTTGGCCCCAGGAGCCCAGGACCAGCATCCGGCACCGGCACCCGTTGGGCCAGCTCGGGCGTCCCTAACTGCCTCCTGCCTGCTCGCCAGTTCCAGCGCTGTGTCCCTAGGCTTCGCCTTAACCGTCTTCGTGAACCACGAGGGCTGCCAGAGTGGATAGTCTAGAGCTGGGGTGCGTCAGCTGCCGCCGGGTGTCCCCCGTAGGGGTCGGGTTGCACTTTCGCCACCAGTCACCAAGGGCCAACGCCAGTGGCCGGGAGCACTCTCCAGGCTCACCGCGCACATCGCCTGGCACCGCAGCCCCGCACGCCCGCCCTGCAGGCGCCTCTCTCACACGCGCCCTCCAGAAGCGTAGGAGGACAGTGGTGGGCGCCTGGCGCCTCGCAGCCTCCACTCCCACGCCTCGCAATGCCGGCGGCCCTGGACGCAGGTTTTCAGGTTCCTGATCTAGGGCCACAAGTCCCGGAGAAGAGGGACTTTGAATCCAGGCTCTGAGGAAGCCCCCTCAGAGGGGGCTTGAGGAGGACACGCCCGCATCCTGAAGGTGCTCCAAGAAGGGGAAACCAGGGCTCAGTCCTTGCAGGTTTGCGGTTGGACGGAGAGGAAACGTGAGGAGGCGCCGCTGGAGGTGGACCTGGCAACCTGCATATATCGGTGATTATCCAAATCGCGCCCTTCCTGCAGCCGTCGCCCCGTTACTCGGGGACACTCTCTGGCTTCAGTCGCCCCGTTTGTCCAAACTCCTCAGAGTAGACGACGTTTGCCCAGAGCTTGTGTGCTCCTCCTCCTCCAAACGAATTTGGGTGACCCTTTATTCCCTGGGCTCAGCCCCTGTGGCTGGGGCACCTGCAGTCCTTCGTGTCTCTGACCCTGGACACCCCAGGGATCAGGACTTAGGAGACCTCAGCTCTTTGGTAAGCCACCCAACTTTGAGAACTTCGGGTTCTCAACTATGAAATGGGGGTAGGAACCCATCAAAATGGCTGTCGCAACCCACCCAGTCCCTGATATGATTCTTTTTGCCCCACTTGGGGAAGAAGAGAGGTTGAACATCTGCTGCAGAGGAGTCCACCTCCCGCCCTAGGTTGTGCAGCCACTGGGCACCAGAAGTCCTTTACCACTGCCGCCAGAAGGTGCGCCCAAGAGGTGCACCCAGGAGAACTGTGCTTTGTCTGCCACCGCTGCAGGCCCAGCCCACAGGGTCCCACTTTCTGGGCCTCTGGACCCGCCCAGCATCCTATTCTGCAGCTCTGTTGCCAGGCTGGACTCGGACATCCATGCAGGGCGAGCTCTAGGCCTAGAGTGTCAACTGGGGGAGTCTCTTCTCGCGTCAGTATTTCCCTCCGGAAAATGGGGTGATGCTCACTTCACGATGGTTTGGAAAATTAAGCGAGCGGGGACGTTCCTGTTTTGGATACAGGTTGCGGGAGGCTGGATGCATCTCTCGGCTACAACTGAGCGCGCCCATGTTGTGATCAGTGACTTCGCAGTCACCTGCTAGCAGATGAAGTGTATCAGAAGGTTGGTTACCAGCTCTTCTGTCGCCTAGCTCCTGAAATGGGAGGGGGCTCTCCAACTCTTACAGGCAGAGAAACGGAGGTTCAAAAAGGGACTTGCAGCCAAGACCTCTGGCGAGGGGTGGGGACGTGACTGGGCCGGAAGATCCCACCCCTTCCAAGGCCAAGGCCTCGGGGAGTTGGCGGCGCCTGTGCCAGTGCAGTGGGGACCCGCTCCCACGGGGAGGATCGCGGGAAGTGCCCTGTACGGTTGCATTTCCTTACACACTGAGACGGAGCCCGGAATGGAGAGTTCTAGCGTACTACAATTCGCAAAGAAAGCGTATTTCATAAAATGTAAATATTAACATGGATGCATTTTTGTAGCCCTGCTTTGGCAAAGCTCCCTTGTTTAAACGACTTGCAGGGTCTTAAAAAATACATGAAAGATTGCAGCCCATCTTCTGTGGTTTCTTAGAAGACTTGGTGTCTTCACACTGCCCCGCACACGCTCACATACATACAGACGCACACATGCACACATGACATACACGCGCGCGCGCACACACGCACACACATGGATTCGCTGGGTCCACTGCTCTCCCGCGGCGGGGTAATTACGGATCTTGCCGGACGGTGATTGGTCAATCTGTCTTCATCGGGGCCTGGCATCCAATGGGCAGTGGTCCATCCGAGGCCCCGCCCTCGGGGGGGGTGGCGCGGACCGCTGGAATGCGTCACACTGGGCCCGACAGGCGCGACCCCCACCCGTGCCCCGGGCCGCTCGCCTTAGCCACGCCGCCGCCTGCGCTCAGGGTCGGAGCGGCGTCTACGCCAGTGGCCACGCTCGGGGCCGCCGCGGCGTCCTTGGGGCTGAGTTGGCCGCCCGCCCGGCGCGCGCCGCCCCGCCCCCGGCCCCTCCCCCCTCCCCGCCCCCGGTTAGGCCGGCCCCGGCGGCGACCAGAGCGGCGACGTGAAAGGCGAGCGAGGCGGCCTCCCCGGCGGCTGTCGGCGCGCACCCGCTCCCGCCCAGCCCAGCCCAGCCCAGCCCAGCGCCGAGGCCGCCGCCTGCCCCGCGGGGCCCGACGCCAGCGCTCCGGGCAGCGGCTCCAGGCCCGGCCCGCGCGTGCGCCTGGGAGCCGCGTGCCACCATCCCCAGCGGGGACTGGCCGCGCCCCGGGCACCGGGGACCCCAAGGAGTCCAGCAGAACCCGACGGGCCCGTGGCCGTGATGCCGGACGAGCTGACGGAGCCCGGGCGCGCCACGCCAGCCCGCACCTCCTCCTTTCTCATTGAAAACCTACTGGCTGCCGAGGCCAAGGGCGCGGGACGCGCTGCCCAGGGCGACGGCAGCCGCGAGGAGGAGGAAGAGGACGACGACGACGCGGAGGATGAGGACGCCGAGCAGGCGCGGCGGCGACGGCTGCAGAGGCGGCGACAGCTGCGAGCGGGCACCGGGCCTGGCGGGGAGGCGCGCGCCCGGGCGCTGCTCGGACCGGGTGCGCTGGGCCTCGGTCCCCGGCCGCCCCCCGGGCCCGGGCCGCCCTTCACTCTCGGTTGCGGAGGTGCGACGCGCTGGTACCCACGGGCACACGGCTACGGAGGCGGCCTCAGTCCCGACAGTGAGTGAGGGCGCCCGGAGGGATGGACCAGGCGGTGGGGCTTGGCTTCCCCTCCGCATTCGTTTGGAGACTTCGGGCTGGTTGCCGCCCTTTGTGCTCCCCCCTCCCTTATTTGTAATAAAGTCTGGGTGGTGTGGGGTCCCACGGAGCCCCTTGCTGGGCGAGTTTGGAAGCTCTCTTCCTGAGCAGGGGTCAGAGATGGAGCTGCACCCATGGCCTGGTCTAAGGAGGCAGGGAGCTGACGAGAGGGGTCCCCTATCCGGAACTACAGACTGCTGGAGGAGAGAGAGAGTGAAATCACACAGGGAAAGAGAGGAGAAGGGAGAGAGGGGTGGGAGAAAAGAAAACGGAAGGATGGAGGAAGAAGGAGGAATGTGGTAAGAGGAAAATGGGGGACCGCCAAAAAATCTATAGCATCGACACATGTGTGTGTATTGTATATGTGTCCACCCGTGAGAGGAAAGTGAGCCAATGGAGGGAGGACAGAGGGAGGGCCAGCAAAGTTGGATCCCTGAAAAAATAACGGGGGCGCTGAGCAGAAGGTGCCGTGTTGCCGGGGCCTCTCCCCCTCTTTCGCCCCACATTCCTCTTTTCCTCCACTCTGTGGGGTGGGCTGAATGGAGGGAGCTTCTACCATAGTAGCAGTGTCTCCCAGAGTCCCGTTTCCTTAGTGCCAGCTTTAGATGGAGACGGGGGCAGGGCCTAGTCCTCTCCCAGGGCCCTCCTGGGTCCCAGAGCTGTGCCAGGCAAGCGGGGGTGGGGGGGGGCTGCTCTGAAGCCCCTAGTCCAACCCTCCTGCATCGTCTCTGCCTCCCCCGCCAGCCTTTGTTTCCTGGTGAGACCTCAGAGACAGGGCAGGGGTTTCTCAGCGCCAGAACCCACTCGTGCCTGGCATTCTGAATCTTGAGTTCTGCCCCCTCTGCCAGGGTTGCTGCCACCCCTATGAACCTACCCTTTGGAGGGAGAGCCCTGGAAGAAGGATCAAGAAAGCCGTTTAACCCCCAGCCCCACTTTGCCAGCCCCTCTTCCAAACTGTTTTCCAGGCTCAGGGCTCTGGAATCCATTTGGTATCTGTGTGCATGCCTGTGTGTTCTGGGGGAGTAAGCAGCCCCTCTCCCTGTTTGAATAATCCCCTTCTTGGTTTGGGAGTGACCCCCTTGCAAAAAGACCCACATCTCAGAGCCCAAAATACCCAGACACCCCACCCTCTTAATGTAAATTTGAGCAGTGCTTCGGTGGTTTGCTTGAAATCTGGTAATTCAATTTAGTGCCCCTCTGGGGGCGATTCTGAAAAGGATCTTGCAGGGTAATATTTGTCCTCCCCCTGCCCTGGGCCTATCCTCACCTGCAGCCCAAGCAGCAATCCCCACAGAGGCGGCTTCTTCTGATAGCTCCTTATTTCGTGCAATGCGGGTTAGGGTCCCAGTTTCACCCCAGAACAGGCAAGCCTGCTTGATGCCTGTGGGAATGTGTGTACCTCTGTTCATCTGGAGGGCTGGGTGTTGTGGGGAGGTAGGGATGGCCCAGATCTAGTGATCGGAACAACTGCAACCTGATTTCTCCGTGGGCACCAAGATGAAACATGTTGTGGGGGTTGGGTAGGGGCAGAAGCGAGATCTGCAGGGCTGGAAGAACACCATGCCAAGCCATCACACCAGCCCACTGAGGTCTGCACTGTTCACACAGGCATGCCGAGAGCTCACACTGGGGCACACCCCTTGTCCACCTGAGTCCTTGACTTCAAGGGCCAGCCAAACTCCACCTCAACCTCCGATCAGTCAACCAGGACCTGCCCTTTGGTGTGGAGGCTTCAGTGAGGGGCAGGCTGGTCCCTGCAGTGTGCGGCGCTGCCCTCTTCAGAGCATGGACTCAGTAGTCCCTGTGGGTTTTGTACCGTACCCCAAACCTGCAGGCTGAACCTCCAGCACAGAAGGTGTTTGGTTCTGGGTGGGACTGCTGGTTTCCTGGTGCTCCCTTTGAGCGGGATGGTGGCTGGACAAGGCATGCTTCTGTGGGCATCTGGGTCAGGGGTCCAAAGTATTGGGGGGGATGCCTATATCACTTAGCTGCATTTTACTTTTGAGGATTGGCTGCCTTCTTCTGGCAGATGTTTCCATGCGCGCAGGCAGGCAGACAGCGTTGTGCATCTGCTCCTGAGTGCACTGTGAGGGTCACTGCAGGCCTTTATTCCTGTGCTCGGAGGCGGCTCTGCGGGCCTGGCGGGTGTGCAAGGGTGGCTCTGTGCTTGTTTTCCTCTTTCTGGGAAGGACGTACTTCCTCTGGTCCCAGGGGTTCCTGTGGGTCTTTTGTGCCTTTCCCCAGGGCAGGCAGTGCAGCCAGGGGCAGTAGCCAGAGGGCTCCCCTGCCTTTTGTGCCTTTGCATTTTCTTTTCTCTCCCTTCCCTTCTTTCTCTGTCCTCTGGGCGTGGGTGTGCATTTCTGAGTGAGAATGTCGCACACGGTGTTGGTTTGCCACAGATCTTGGCTTTTCAGGTCCACCTCCTCCTCTTCTGCCTCCCTCCTTATTCCCACCCCGAACCTCCAGTTCTGGATGCCAGGGCCCTAATGTGCCATGTTTTCCAGCTTGAGGTGGTGGATGACCTCAAGGTGGAGGCCGCCCGGAACAAAACATTATGCACCTCTCTCCCCTGCAGCCAGTGACCGGGACTCACCGGAGACGGGCGAGGAGATGGGGCGCGCAGAGGGCGTCTGGCCGCGGGGCCCCGGGCCGGGAGCGGTGCCGCGGGAGGCAGAGGAGCTGGCGGCGCAGGGCCCGGTGGCTGGCGGGGAGGAGGCCGCGGAGCTGGCAGAGGCCCCGGCCCCCTCGGCGACCGCGGAGGCGCGCGGCGGCGGCGTCGGGGGTCGCAAGAAGAAGACGCGCACGGTCTTCTCGCGCAGCCAGGTCTTCCAGCTGGAGTCCACCTTCGACCTGAAGCGCTACCTGAGCAGCGCGGAGCGCGCCGGCCTCGCCGCCTCGCTGCAGCTCACCGAGACCCAGGTCAAGATCTGGTTCCAGAACCGTCGCAACAAGTGGAAGCGGCAGCTGGCCGCCGAGCTGGAGGCCGCCAGCCTGTCCCCGCCCGGCGCGCAGCGCCTGGTCCGCGTGCCGGTGCTCTACCACGAAAGCCCCTCGGCCTCGGCCGGCGCCGGTCCCCCGGCTGCGCTGCCCTTCCCGCTGGCTCCCCCGGCGCCCGCGCCGCCCCCGCCGCTGCTCGGCTTCTCCGGAGCCCTGGCCTACCCGCTGGCCGCCTTCCCCACCGCTGCCTCCGTGCCCTTTCTGCGGGCGCAGATGCCGGGCCTGGTGTGAGCCTCTGTGAGCCCGCCGCTGGCCAGCATCCTCCCCAGGTTGCTGCAGACCCCTGTGGACCCGCAGTGAAGGTGGCGGTGGGTGCAGGGCGCGGTTCGATCGGGGCGGGTGGCCTCCTAGGGCCGCCTCTGTACCTCAGTGTCGGGCCCCAGCTGCTGTTCGGAGCCCCTCCAGAATGTACCAGGGCCGCTCCCCAAGCAGCTGCGGAGAGGGGCCATAGGAAGACAATCAGCCGCAGGCCGGGGCCAGGCCTGGCAAAGCGGGGCTCCTGCCTTTAGGGCCCGCAGCAGCAGCAACAGCAAACTTCCAGCAGGCTGTCCCAGGGGCTGCGAGGTGACTGTCCCCACGCACACTGCCCCAATGCAAAATGTGCTTTCCTGGGACAAAGCAGGACCCAGAGGGCAGTCCCCGGGCAGCAAGGACTCCCCTTGCAGGAACTGACCCTCGTTTCCTAGAAGACAGGCCGGCTGGGTCTTCTCTCCTGGGCTGCAGCCTCTGTTTTCCTGGTGAAGATTTTTTTTTTAATCAATTTACTTATTGCGTATGGAATAAAAAGGGACGTTTTCTGGATGGTTTCACTGCTTTGTGATCCCCGGGCAGGGCCCTCCTCTGGTAGCAGGCTCTGTGGAGGCCCTCTCTCCCTACTTTCCCACACTGACCAGGGAACTGGGAGCCTGGGCCTGGTGAAGTGGGCAGGAGATGATGGCAGTGGGATTTGTTCCCTAAGTCCCAGCTCTGCCTCGGGGGTGATAGCCTTGGTGGCCCAGGAAGGGGGAGCAGGGAAAGCAGTGTGGTTCCCAGGAGGCAGGGGAGGCAGGAAGGAGGCTTGCAGCCTCCGCTTTCCTCCCCCGGGCACTTGGGGTTCTGAGTCCTGTTGAATTTTTCTTTGGGCCCAAACAAAACATTCGCACTCCCTGAGGGTGAGGTGAGGGCGCCCACTCCTGCTGGGGTCTCCTTCTCTGCAGCCTCCAGCACAGGGGCTCAGGGCCCAGTTACGGGCTCTTAACAAAAGCTGTTCTGATGGTCTGTGTTGCTGGGGTTGCCCTTCTCCATCAACCCAAGGCAGCTTGCTTTGGGGTGAAGGCGGAGGCTCTGCCATGTATGGACAAGGGACCCTTCATTCGATGTGATTGAGCCCAAAGCAGCAAGTCACTCAGGGCTTGAGAGGGTCACTTCTTTGCTGGACAGGGCCCCCTAGAAAACTGGCATCCCTCTCTGCCTCACTTTGGAGCAGCCCCTCCATAGCTGAGGTGAGCAGCAACTGGGGACCATACTGTGGGTCTGGGGTGCTGGAGGTGGCACCAGAAGGCCTAAGAGAAGGAGCCACAGGAAGGGCACAGTCCATCTATGTGCATGTGTCCCTGCCCCAGCCTAGTGCAAAGAGTTGGCTCCCAGAGCTCTGAGGCCCAGGAGCCTTGGGAGCTGGCGCTGCGGGGGGGCCCTGGCCTTGCGCCCACACCTTCAGCCCCCCCCCCCACTTCTCAGTCCCTCCAGGCCTGGAGTCTGGGAACCCTCGCAGTGTGGGAACTGCCCTTAACCGTGGGGAGCACCTGTTTGCCTAGCATTAAACGGTGGGGCCCTGGGTCCAATCTTCAGTGCCACAAAATGGGAAAAAGAAAACGAAACAAAAACTGTTTTCCCTGGGCTTTGGTGGGGCGGAAGATTGATGGTACACTTCAGTGAAATGATTTTACTTTCAAAAGCCTTAATCCTGGTCCATGGCCATAGAGGGTAGAGGGATATCCACAGGCAAATGTCAGACCCATCTCTCCTCCCTCCCCCTTCCCCGCTGTGCCCTCTTTAGGCTTGGTGTCCCTGGCTTTGGTCTCTCTCGTTCTTGTTCTGGTCTCATCCAGTCATGGGCACATCTCTGCCAGTCCTCCATGGACCTGCACAGCTGCTGGCAGCCATGCCCTGAGTCCAGCAGTTCCCCACAGCAGGCCATGGCCAATGCATGTCTCTGCCCCTTACCCTCCAAGCACCGGGGCCAGCAGCCCGTTGTGGATCCTTGCTGTTCTCCAGCCAAGGTCTCTGGGAATCTCAGACCACTGAGACATCTCCTGTGCCTTTTAGAATGGGACATCTAAAGCTAGATGAAGGGATATCGCTGCCTTGCAGCCATTTCATTCACTGTCTCTCGGGTGTGAGGTCCTGAGGTCCCACGGTGACCTCAGGGAGCTCCTGAGTGTGAGGGGGTCGTTGATGGCAGGTCCTGGGGCAGATCTCTTCTGTGACACCCCACACAGCCAGGCTTAAGGACGCAGGAGCAGCCACTTGAGGCAGGGGCCACGTGGCGCAGGAAGGTGAGGGCTCGGCAGGCAGGCGGTAGCCGCTGGGAACTAAGGAGGAGGTGCAGGCAGGGCCTGCGTCGTCCTCGCTCAACGCGCTGTGAACGCTAAATCAGGAGCGGCGTTTTCCCGCAGAGTTAGTAAGTCTGTCTGTAGAGCAGTTCCTGGGCTGGAGGAGCCAGGAGGCCGAAGGAAAGACTGCGACCCCGCACGGGAAAGGAGAGGGCCGGTGTCGCCGCGCTCGAGCGAAGCGCCGCGATGGAGCGAACGGATCCGAAGCTGGGCCAGCCACTAGATCTGCCTTGTCGTCATGCACGAGGCATCGCACCAGGGATGGCACAAACCAGAGACCTGACGGCTCAACACGAAGCCCACGAAGGCCTGGGGGGGCGCGGGACCAGCCTGGGGTGCGCCTGGCCCCTTGGAGCCCTGAGTTCCAGCGCCATCGATCGCGGGCGCACCTCGCCGCGATGGCTCCGCTGCTGGCAGAAGATGAATGGCTTCGATCCGTCTCCACCGCACGCCCCGCCCTCCCCAGTGGGTTCCACCCATCAGCCTCACCCTCTCTGTAAGTGAGGCCGAACTGCAGCCCCCCTGGGATGCCCAGGGCTCTGGTGCAGAGCCTCTGAACCCATTTGGGGCAAACAGGATTTGCCCCACTCCTGCCCTGGCCTTTGCCAGAACCCGTCCTACTGGCAACCCCTGATCCTCTCCAGGCCCGTTTCCCCATCACATTTATGGTGCTTGGACTGCTGGGCCTGCGGTGATTGGAGAGGGAGACAAACCGTCCCTCACACCAGCACCGTGCAGACTGCCCGCTCCAGCTCCCAGGACCCCCACTGCTGATGGGATTGGTGGCAGGATCCACCCTCTGGGGGGGCCTCTGTCCTTAGGTACACAGGAGCTGACAACAATGGCCTGAGAGAATGGGGGGAAATATGCTCCCCTCCCAGAGCCGGCACTCAGACATCTGCAGGTGGGTTATTTACCAGGAGAGCCAGGAAGGACCGCTAAGGCCTTGTGTGCTTGGAAGCTGGGTTGTCTGGGCACCGCACCCTGTCCTCAGGCAGGGCATATATGGAGTTAGAGCTGGAAAAATTCCAAGCCCAGTTCAGCCTCCAGGAGGGGGGAGGGCGGCAGACTTAGGCCTGCCCAGTTCCCCAGGTGGTCATCACCTGCCCTGCACACTTCACTCCTGGCCTCCCTGGGCTCTGTACTGAGAGCACACCGCACCCAGGGCTCACTCCTTCCTGCCTCATTCACAGCCACAGAGAGCACCTGAAAGGCACCAGGGAACTGCCTGCCTTCTAACTGGTGACCCCACCTCCCTCCCCACAGTGGCTCTTGGTGTGCACAGGCCCCCAGCTCTGTTGCTGGGAGGGCCTTGATGACCTTCCCGTTGCTCTTAAACCTGAGGCCCTCTCCTTCAGGTGGAGGTGCCCCCAGGGCTGCTGGGGATGTCTGCCAGGGCCTTGGCTCAGAGCCCACTCAGGGACCACCTCGGCTGGGTCGAGGCCAAAGAGCTGGGCACTGGCCAGGTGAGCTCTGAGAGGGAAAAGAGTGGCCTGGGTTCCCTCGCTGTTTGTGCTGTGGGTGGCTCCCAAGTGTCCTTCTTGGCTTTCTAACTTCACCCAGCTTTCTAACCCACCCCACCCCCCCGCTTTTGGTGCTGGGGATTGAACCCAGGGGCACTTTACTACTGAACTACATCCCCAGCCTTTATATTTTTTATTTTGACACAGGGTCTCACTAAGCTAAATTGGCCTGGAACCTGTGATCTTCCTGCCTCAGTCTCCCACGTCACTGGGATTACAGGTGTTTGCTACCAAGCCCTGTGGCTTCCACCTCACAACTCCTGAAAGAAACAGGTCTGAGCAGCATGGATTCTGGGCAGGGAAGCCGCCATGGAGACCAGCTGCCTGGCCAAAGCCTTGACCCTCTCCGGGCTCCCCTCCACTCCCTGAAACTTCTCCTCATCCCGCCAAATCTTGCTGTCCCTTCCTGCCTGTTACAGTCTTCCGGATGATTCCCTCTGCCACACCATCCCTTTGGTGGCCAGAGCAGACATCCACCAAGCTGCGTGCCTGCTGGAAACTGAGGTCCTCCCTGCTCAGTCTGTGAGCCAGGAGTGCTGCTGGGTGCCTGGTTCCTTCAGGTCCTTAGGTCAGTGTTGTGGTGAGACTGGAGAGCAGCTACCCTGTGCTCACAGTGCTGAGTTCCCAACTCCAACTGGCAATGGGACCAAGGGCAGAGGGAAGAGGGAGACCTGCAGGGTGGCTCAGCTTGCACCTCTCACGCACAGCCTGGCAGCAGCTGCTGCCCAGCCTCTGCTGGCTTCTGTAGCCCTTGGCCTCCGTGTTTGTTCATTTGTGTGTGTGTGTGTGTGTGTGTGTGTAAAGTATAAAAGTCACAGTGCTTGTTACTATCTGGATTGCAGTAAAGTCAAACAGAAAAGAGTTGTAATTCCACCATCAAAGTCCCAGCTTCTGAGTGTTAGACCAGGCTGTGGATGTGTTGGGAGTTGTGATTTATAGCCAAATTGCTATTTTTAGGAGTTAAAAATGCATTTATGATTTATGTATTTACTGGTGAAATGAAGTGATATCTGCATTTGCTTTAAGACATGGCAGCGAAAATAAATAGGAAAAATAAAAAGGAGAATAGAATTTGGCCAGAGGCAAATCACTGCTGAATGGGGCTGGGGCACAGGGGTTCATTATAGCACTCCCTCTACTTTTGTTTTATATTTGAAAACTTCCATAATAAAATGTTTTTAAAAACAACCCTGGAATCATAAGGGCCCTTTGCACCTGGCGTGTTCATCCCGCTAAAGGGGCTGTTCTACTCCAGGTTTATTTTCACCCCACCGGGGTTCCATCGGGGTTGTTTGCACCCAGCTTTTTTTCTTAGCCAGAGTATGTACATCAAAACCCATTAATTCAGTGTCTGTAAAACTATCTCAGTCTCAAACATTCCTCTTTTTCCACTTGGCTTTGCTGGTCCCCACCCTTCCCCAACTGGTCCCGATGCTCCCCAGGGATTCCCCACCCCGGTTGCAGGGGGGCCATGCATCACCTTTGAGGGACAGGCTTCTGAGATCGCCTATGATGGATAAGGGGTTTATAACCACGAAAGGTCGGCGAGCACCTCCTCTGCCTCCTACACCGCTAAAGTCCCTAAGCAGCCAGAGTGGGATCCTGATGGAGGCACGTTTTGGGATACTGAGCCAAGCGGTGGCCTCTCTGGTTCCGGGTTCGTGGGTTTGGTTTCTTGGCATTTCTT